AAATATCAACAGAAGAAAAGTGTAAAACTATACACTAATAATCATATTATTTCATTTATATCATAACAGCTTAACTCTAGGATGCATTCTCACACACACCAATTAAATCCTGATGGCACAGGCTTTGGGATAAGTACGCAACAAAGTATAAAACAGAAACTTGTTACAGAAATGAACCAGTTATCTGGAATGTATTTACAAAAAGTGGTTCAATGAATATTTATAAACCATATTTTCATCAGAAATAAAAAGGGATAGTACAAGAAATTGTAACAAACATAAATGATATAAATTGCTTATTAATTTTTTACAATATGTAATAAATATAAAACTGCAACAGTACACATAAAGCTCCAAAAAACATTGTAAACAGGTAATAAACAGAAGGGAGTACCTTTATATAATTTCAGGTGAACCAAAAACCCTGCGACCATTAGATTGATACCTATGCAGTCTGACATTCAAAATTGCTCAATTTTAAAATTTTATCAGGTTTCTGGTTCACCTGTACAACATATTTGCATTGAATGCTTATGACTGCAACAAATCCAGTTTGCTGCATTCTATAGCCTACAATATACTGTGTAACTCAAAAGTAAGCAAAGGACTTCTTAAATTATAAATCTTTGGGTCTGCCCAATTTGTGAACAGGTCACTCTTCAAATTTATTATTAAAAATTTCATTTAAGAATCTCTAAAGTTATCATAAAACTGAATGACAATAATCAAACTTCGAATTCACTTTGAGGGTTATTTACAAAAATGACACCCTGACTTTTCTATTATAGATCCTAAAATTACCTTCAATGGTAATGAAACTAACGCTGCTTTCTTCCAAAAAGATTGTTAAACACACTTGACCTCTTATCTTTTCCTTTAGCATTTGAAGGTGAGCGTGATCCCTTGTTTGAATGTTGCTCACTTTCACTTGAGCTTTCACTGGGCCTTCGCTGAACCCCAATGCCAGAGTTGGTTCTATCATTCTGATGGTATGGCATTGAACCTGCTGGTGGAGGAGCCACATATGGTGGGAGTGAATTTGGTCTACTAGTGCTTCCAACAGAGACCACTACGGCTTCGCGGGTTTGTGCCTGAAAAAAAAAAAAAAATTGTTACAGAGAAAGAAAGAAAATTATCAACTGCAACACGGTAACTTGGATTTTAAAAAATCATGTCGACTGTACCTGTTTCCCAGCTGTTCCAAAGTTGCGGTAAACTGAGACAGGGACAGAAAATAGATTACAATACAGAATAATTATGGAGAGTTTTACACAAACAATATGAGATTAAATTGACCAAAACCAGTTAATCAAGAGAGGTAAGTGAAAAAGCAAATTTGAACTGCTGTGTTTAAAGCTCCTAACTTATGCAAGCTGCTTTAACAATTGGTGCTAACACTAGAGCGGCTGCAAACTTACTTGGCTGCTGCGCCATTGAAGTATCCCAACTGTCTCGATGGTGAAGTTGTGGCACAACTGGCAGACCACCCATAGGTGGTCTGTTTGGGGGAGCCGATGACGGAAGCGGGGGTGGGGCTTCTAATAGCAGAAAGCAGGTGTTAAAAAAGCGCAAAAGGGTGAAGTACCGTATTTTTGGTCTCCAGGTTGTTGGTAAAGTTACACATAAAATTGCCCTCTCCATTAAAACTAACCAATTTGATTTATTTTAAAGAACAAAAGCCCACAAAAGCTTTCAAATAGTATTTAATAAAAACAAAGTACCTTGCATAGGTGAGGTTAGTTCTTGACTACTCTGGTGCCTCCATGTACTATCACCATTGGTATAATTTGCATTCTGAATCAGAGGACGCTGCGTAGGGAGGGTAGATCCTCGTGATTGTGCATTAAATGAGGGTGGCCTCATAAGTTCCCCTTCTGTAATGGCAAGGGTAAATACCACATGAAAACTTGAATACTTATCTGAGAAATTTCAAGTAAAATAGATGGTTCATATATATACCATGTGGTCTTCCTCTCATATTGTCAGTAGTAACTTCTGTGGTAGGTGAACGAAGTGGTATAGGTGGTGGAGCTGCTCGGGGCACAACTTGTGGGGGTAAATTATTATTCATTCGATGCTGTTGTAACAACTGTGCTTGAGACACACCAGATGAATTCCTTGGTAGGGAATTAGAAGGTAAAGTATTTGGACGTCGGGGGCTTGTTTCAGGTGATGAGCCTGGACTAGATCCTGAGCTGACATCTACATTAGAGCTAACAGTTGGTGTCCGTTCTAATGTATTTTGACTTTGCTATAATTGGAAAAAGAAGAATGCAAAGTTGACACCAGTAAATAAGATTTAGTTTTCTAACAAAGAACACACAAGATGAACTAAAGCACTAACCTTTTGCGACTCATCATAACTAAGCAGTTGTAAACTAGGAGGCAATTGAGCATGAAAAGTTATTTTATTGACCCAATCCTCCATTTCTGCTTCTGTAGGGGCTAAAAATAGGAACTTTGAGCCATCAGTTCCACACAACCTAAGGGAAAAAAAAATTTGGTTGAGGAGAGGTCATATGTTTAAAGGACTTTGTGTAACAGACTTTACCCATCACATTTATATAAACCTATGCAAATCATAAAGGCATAGGCAGGTAAATCACCTGAAAACGTGCTTCTTCTTTGTGTAATTATCAGCTTTCTCGCATTGAGCTTTGAATATAATAATTGGTGACGTTGCTGCCTTGCTATCAACAAAGTCATCATGATCCTTGAAGAAACAGAGAAGCTGGCCACATAAAACTGTGTAGTAAGACTTCCAAGAGCGTACAGCAGCCTTCTTTCCACCACCCTGCAGTTCATGTTTTCGATCCAGTATTCCTTGAATCTCCACAGGAGGCAGCTCCACCTGCTGCTCTAGTTTCTGCAGTTTCCGGAAACTTTGAGTACGACGGCGAGTGGTGAAGCTAGGTGTCCTCTTTGGCTTTTTAAGTTCAACTCGCATACTCTCTGCCCTCTTCACATCCCCTGTAGCTAAAATAAGCAAAGGAAATACATCAAGTTGAAATTATCAATCTAGATCCCTGTGCTTTGTGTAGACGGATAATAAAAATTAATCGTTTACCTTTCCTAAACATTTGAGAGATACTGCTAGACTTTTGAACACCAGTATCAGTGCTATCAGGATGTAGCCTGAAAAACAAAAGGGAAAAAGTAATTAAATGCAATACTTAAATTAGCAAACTTTGGGTAAAAAAGCGTATAGTCTCTTTACAAATTCATGCATATTTTCCAGGTAAGGCGCACCTTGTGGTATCAACAGCAGAGACAGAGTTAGATTTGGTTAAAGGAAGAGCTCTTTCCATTGATGTTTCATCTTCATTAAAGACAGATGAGCCAGATGGAATCACCTCAAGACTACCCGAACTAGTAGAACACCAATCATGCATTAAAATAAAGAAAGTAGGATGCAATAAGTTCATAAGTTTAACAACTATGTATTAAAGATATGGTGGGGAATTATGGTACCTAATGAACTTGTAATTATTAAATTCTGAAGTGAACTTTAGATCCAACCAATACACAAGCCATGCATTAAGAAAGTAATATGGGAAGTGACCCTGCAGAAGATCGTGCAATACAGAGAATTTAAGAAAAAAGTAAAAATTGAGTTGCTACCTATCGTGGCGGTCTCCATTGACCTCATCTCTCCCAAGCCTAACTTCAGGTACACGTCTTCTTTCGTCTTCACGCCTTCGTTCCTATATGCAAGGAAAAGAGAACATAGATGTTTTATCTACATTGGTCAGATCAATGCAGAAATGTGTAGTAAATCCGAGAGACATACTAAAAACTTACATCAGTAATACGTTGAACCTCTTTGCGTTTCCGGGCCTCCACGCGTTCCTTCTCTACTCGTTCTCGTTCAGCTAAGCGAGCAGCCTCCTCAGCCTGTTGCTGTTTACGGAATGCCTCCTCCAACTAATTCAAAACCAAAACAATGACATGAGGTTATCAAAATCATTCATTCACACCTTCAAGGCGGCAATGCATAATGCAATAACATTGCTGTCATATTGTACTCAACAAAGTTAAAATGAACTTACCAAGGTTACTCTATTAAGAGCATTGAACTTCTCCTCTTGGGCTTCAATTGTTTTTTCAAAGTCTTCATGCTTACGAATGAGTTCTTCAACTTGCAATATACTTTCCCCCAATTTGGGATCATGAAGTGTAGCCTCCCTTGACTGCAGCCAGTTTTCAAGCTGATCAGCGTCTCTCTTGAACATCTTTAACACAAATACACATTTACCTTAAGACTTAGAAGACAATTGATTTTTGCTGAGTTTCCAGAATGTTGAGTACAAAATAGAGAATAATGCATTGGTTTTTCAATTTTACCTGAGTATCAAGGTTTTGTGCATAAATTGTCTGGCGAAGATACCAAGTATCATTCAGGACCTTTCTGCGTTGCTTCAAAACTGATATTTTGTCTTCAATCTCATCAGATAGGAAATGACCCTAAATATTTTAAGTATGATAAATATAGGTATACCTCAATAACAGTTTAGTAAGATTTTGGAAAAGAACTTATTTCGGAAATACCTGATCTATAAGTTGTTTCCCAGTAGTATAAAATTTGTCAAAGGCTTCACTCCTGGTATCAATTTCTGCTTTATGTTCAGAATGACGAGTTATAAGAGCCTCTGCCCCAGGAACATCTTGGGCCAAGTCGGGAGCTGTCACTTTGGCAATCATTTCATTTATCCAAGACCTTAAGATACATAATCATACCAATTAATGCTTCATCAAGTTTTTCATTTTGGAACATCAAGAAATGGCAGAACACAACTTACATCAAATCACGATATTGGTCGAAGTATGCTTGAAGCTGTTCTGCTTGATGTAACTTATCTTTACGTTGTGCAGCTTTTTCAAGTAATTCATTCCAACATTCCATTGCTTCTTCATGCTTAACTTCAATGTGTTCCCGAGCATCTGGAAAGAGTTCAGCAAGCCGTCCTGCCTCCTCTCCAACAGATTCCACTTGCTCTTTTACTGCACCTAGGTCGGTTTCAAATCCTTGGTGCTTGCGCACCAACGTTTGGATAGTTTCTAGGTCCTGACCATACCCTTCTGAAATGAGTGTAGCATCTTTCTCTTGTATCCAGCTGATGGTTTCATCAGCTGTCCGATCAAACACGTGAACTTGCTTTGCTCCAGCAAGGGCCTAAAATAGAAAATTAAGGATGAGACAAAAAGAAGACAGAGAAATTCTCTTTTAGCCTTGGTAAACAAAATACCTCCTGTCGGGCGTGGGCCAATTCTTTCAAATCCTCCCAAAGCTGTTGAGTTTCATCAAGTTTACTTTGAATACGCCCAGATTCAGGGTTCTTCTCAGCAATTAGGGCCTTCCCTGAGGAGAGGCAAGCTGACACGCGACCTTCACTGGCCGAGAGACCACTAAGGAAAGTCTCAAAGGTCTGAGACCAGAATACAGTGTATTAGAGATTATTGTGTAACTAGTTTTTCTCCAAATCATCTATCATCAACTGACCTGTATGAGAAGTTCTACGTGCTCAACATCTCTCCCATAATCCTCTGAGGCTGCCACAGTAGTTTGATCTCCAATCCATTCAGCAACTTCCTCAGCCTCTCTTAAAAATCGGAAAAGCTTTCTACTTTCAATAAGTCTCTCTTCACGTTTCTTGTGGAGGACCTGAAGCTGGGCAAAATGGTTTTCCAGGTCAACCTAGAAAAAGAAACATAAGTTTAGAAGACCCAAGAGAGGCAAAGAGGGAAAGCAAATGTGTAAATACAATGTTCCCAGATGTTTCTCAGAATTTGTAGTAACTAGGTAAATTGTGTTTCAGTGAAAGGTAACAAAAATCAACTATTTTATTTACTTGCATTGATTTCTTATATAAATCTACATGGTAAACCAATGATAAATACTAAGTACCTGCTTTTGCTTGATGTTTTCGCTATCAAAATGACCTCTGTCAACTAGACCACTTGACAGCTTTGCAAGGCGACCGATTGTATGTTGGAAGGCACTAAGATCTCTTTCACATGACTCAAGTTTCTTTAAGAGTGATAAAACTGAATCCTCATCCTTGCCAACATCACTAGAGGTAAGCATTGGCCGTTTTTCTTTCATCCAAGTTTCAGCTTCAGCTGCTTCAGCGTAGAACTGTAAAAAAATAAGGTGAATAAATACCAAAAAAATGTCAAATTTACAAATTAAAAACACTGACAGAATTTGAATTGAAAGCATTTGATACTGAAAATGGTAAAGAAAAAGCAAAACATAAATAAATGAGTAGGTAACTCAGTAGGTATATAAAGTCCACACCATTTGAGATTCAACAGCATCAAGTAGGCGAAGTCTTCTCACGCTAGAGATATCTTTTAAAGTTCCTAGTTTTTCTTGTAATTCACTGCTAAGTTTTTCAATACGTTGAGCGGCAAAATGATTGGACTGAACCATTTGATGTGCCCTCTTAGACAAATTGGATACTACTGGTTCATGTGAAAGAATCTCTGCTTCCAGGGCCTTGAAAACATAACACCAAAAAACATAATCAAATAACAAATTTTTTCCAGGAAAACCATGAAATCTGAATTTGACTATAGTTTTCTACCTGATGCTTTTTCTGGAGGCTCTGCACAGCAGTAAGGCTGCTTCCTAAATCATCAGATGCAGCCTGTGGTTCTTTTTCAGCCAGCCATTGCATCTCATCGTCAATGTCTCTAATTAACTGTTTGAGAAGCAACGCATCTTCTAAGTTCTCTCGTCGAATTTGCATAGGTTCGTGCAAGGATCGATATCTACAACATAGGAAACATTAAAATAACAAGCCAATTCTTTTGCTTTTCTTTCACTACACAAGATCCAGGAATAAGAAAGCAAATTTACTGAAAACATACCTTTTAATAACATTTGCCGCTCTATCCTGTATTTCTTCTTTCATAAAATGATTAGATCTCTCAAATGTACCAGCAGTGTCCTTGATCTGTTCACAAGTCTCAGCATGTCCCAAAACATCACTCTCCAAAAGAGTGTGTCTTTTGAGTAAATTTTGAACACTGCTGAGATCTTTTCCATGATCTTCAGAGGCTAGCTGACTTTCAACATCATCCATCCATGTTTCCATTTCCTCAAGCGTACGACTAAAAAGTAACGCTTGATAGGCGTCATTCAGCCTCTCCCTTTTCAATAAACTAGCATCTTGCAAACGGCGCCATTCTGTTTCTAATTCATCAAGACGCATACGTATCTCCATTGAGGCAAAATGACCAGCCCCAATTAGCCCTTCACCCTCAGCAGTAACACCATTCACACGGGCTCGGTTTGCAGTAAGCTCGGATTCAAAAGCTGCATGTCTCTGAATTTTACTTTGAAGATTAGTAGGGTCGCGGTAACTCTCATCACTGGCAACCTGCAACTTCTGGGTCAGCCATGCGTCAACCTGAGAAAAACAGATAGATTATAACAACATGAAATATTTCAATGAAATTGTACAGAGATATCTGACTTGTGGGTTAACATACCTCATACATATTTCTAAGGAACTGGTGAAGCTGTCGACTCTCTTGCAGCCGCTTGCGCCTGGCAGCAGTAGCTTCCTTAAGACGATCCCGCCTAGAAATCACACTTTTTAATTTTTGAGTGATTGCATTGCTATCATAGTGGTGGTCAGACAGGATTTCTAAAGCAAACTTTTCGAGCTCTTCTACCCTACTTAATTGTGCAACAAGTGTTTTCTCAAAATCTTCGTGTTTTCTGAGCAAAGCTTCTACACTTGATAGGGAATCTCCAACATCATCATTATTCAGGAATGCTTCTTTTCCAGCAAGCCAGCTATGAGCCTGGTCTGTCTGCTCACGGAAGAGTTGAAGCTGGTGAGCTTGAGTTAGACGTTGTTTTCTATCCTCCCAAGCTGCTCCTAAAGTTCTTCTTAACTCTTCCAGTTTACTCATATCATTCTCAGCTTCAGGAATACGAAGCCCAAATTCCTTTAAGGATTTAAATGCTTCTTGACGCCCATCAATTTCAGCTTTCCTTTCTTGATGCAACTGCAACATGGCTTCAGCTTCAGGCACTGAGGAGGGCAGTTCTGATGAACCCATTCGTTTAATTGCCTCTCCTACCCAAATATCGAGTTCTTTCAAGTCTGACTTGAATTTGTGTAAAGTGTAGGCAGCAGAAAGGGCATCACGTCTTTTCCGAGAAAGTTGAAGAAGATTACGCCAATCGTCGGTGAGTGCAGACAGCTTGTTGAAAATTGGAACTGCCATGTCAGGATACTTCTGAGACAACCTTTTGGCCTCGCTCTCATGTTCCTTCAGTTTGCCTTCAATAGCAGTCATGTCGCGCTCAAGTGCATCCTGCTTGCGTTGCAGCTGTTCAACACCCATTAAATCACGGCCAGTATCCTCACTGGACATTGCTACAGCTTTCTCAGCAACTCTTTGAGCTGTGTCATCAACATCTCTATTGAAAAGGTGAACTTCAAGAGCTCCAGCCAATCTCTCACGGTATTCTCCTAATGCACCCTGAAGGCTCTTTAATTTACTATTAAATTGATCACGACGCTGGTCTACTGAGCGAGTATCACTTCTTCCCTGACGAATCAATTTATCAGCAAGAGCATTTATTGCCCTCATCCTGGAATCATCAACTCGCATGTCACTATCCACATCATCAAGTTTGCGCTGCAATGCTAGACAGTGTTCATAGTCTCTACCAGTGTCAGCTGCTTGTACCATCATTTCCTTATCCCTTATCCATGCTTCAATTTTCTCCAATTGGTTGTTAAATTCAAGAATATCTTGAGCTTCCTCTAATCCTCTTCCATGATTACTTGATTCTTGGAGTAAAGTGCGCCATGAGGATAATAACTGATCCAGCTGTTGTCTCACTTCTCGAGATGACTTATGCTTCTTCCTCAACAGCATTTCACCTTTCTCCTGAATTTCACCAATCCGCCCTTGATTTGCTGAAAGCTCTGCTTGAAAAGCTTGGTGTTTCTGGAGCTTCTTTATCTTTTCCTCAAGTGAGTTGCCCTCTCCTTTTCCGGCCTCTGCTTCCAGTTTCTTTTGCTTTTCATCAATCCAGAGTTCTGCCTCTCCAACATCACGGATAAACTGAGCATGAAGTAGGGCATCTTCAAGATGACCTCTCCTTGTGGCACACAGATCCTTTACTTTGACACGTCGTTCTACAACTTGGGCTAATCTTTGCGCTATAGACTGGCTTTCAAAATGCCTTTGGGCAAGAAGTTTGTCACCATGTTCTTGTAATGCAAGTACTTTCTCTTCCTGTGTTCCAAGTAGTTTTTCAAAAGCATCATGCTTTTTCATTGCAGCAGTGACTTCATCAACAGAATGACCAAAGTTAGAGCCAGCTAGGGCCACTTCCTGGGATCCACTGATAGTGTCAATTTGCTTTGCATCTCGGAGGAAGAAATGCAAATCAATAAGTTGATCAAGGTGTACCTTCTTGTGCTGCCACGCAGCATGCAGTTTTTGCCTCTCTTCAAGCAATTGATCAGATCGCTCTCGGATTTCCTGTAAAGAAATGTAAAACCATGACTTTGTTATATGATGATATCTATTGGACCTATATAAGATTTAGAAATCAACTAACCTGAGAGGCATAGTGTTGCCCTTGAATCATGGCCTCTCCTAACTCTAACACTGTCTTGAAGTTATCCTCACGAGCCTCTATTTCTGCTTTAACAGCCTCGTGCTCTGCTTTAAGAGTTTGTGCACCAGCTGCATCTCTAACTTTTTCTTCAGTCAGCATAGCCGCTCGAAGTCCAGATGCCCAGCTGAAGAGATCACGAACCTACAAGGATGGTAGTAAAAAATTAATATTGTATGGGATATAATGTATGGGATTGTTAAAGAGGGATGCAGGAAATATTTTAATTGACAATAACTCTGATGCTGCTGCTTTTAAAATTCAATACCTGAGTTAGGAAGCGTTGTAAATCACAACTAGCTTGGAGCTCTTCCCTACGCTGAGCACTTCGATTTTGTAGAGCCGTCCAGCTTGATAAGACAACAGTCTGTTGTTGTGCAATTTGTGTAGCATTATTACCAGGATACAAAGCTTGAAGTCGAGCAGCATCCTCCACTAAAACCTGCATCATTAAGATATTGATAGTTAGAAAAATCCTGGGGCCAAAACTCTTGGTGGATAAATGTACTCTCACCTGCAGTTGTGCTTCCAATGCCACCAAATCATTTTCAAATCCTTCATGCCTCCTGATGAGGGCCAAAACTGAATTTAAATCACGCCCTCTATCATCTGGTAATGCTGCCATTTTCTCATTAATACGAGCTAGAGCCTCAGCTACATCACGGTGGAATCGATGAATTTCTCCAGCAGCTGAGAGTCGTCTTTCACGATGGGACATCTGATTAAGTAGCTGTTGCCACGCCTCCCTAAAATTAACAGTTTTGTTTAGTAATATGTTGTGAAAGAATTGATAAAAATAACTAAAAATAACAAATGTTAGAATGCATAGCACTAAATGGTCTATAATTAGTTGGTAAAAAATAATGAAGCTGCAATAAATAATTTTTTTAATTTAAAGGAACATACATAAAGACACACCAAGCTAGTAAAAGAGGAGCACACATCCACAGAAAATCTTGTAATATGAAAGCCAGGCAAGTGAATGTTAAGCATAAATCTAAAAGACATCTAGAAGAGTCACAATTACTAGAACATAGTACACCACTCACTTGTTTGCAGCATGACGCTCAGCTACCTGTCGCACAGGATTCTCGTTGTCGAGCCTCTCAATCCCGTCAGCACTACAAATACCCACCACAAAGTTATGGAACCATTTACCAACATCCTCTTATAGATACGAGCAACAAACACCAGCCCAAGCAAAATGCACAATACGTTTTAATAAACAAGTTAAACAAGTTGCTAAACTTACATCAATTTACACCAAGTATTGTATAACAGATAGAGATATTCAAAATGGACCCAGAGAGTAATAGATAGAATTCACTTAAAAAGAGTCTTCACACCCATACAACACACATACTTCAGATGCCAACTCTGATGATTAATACTACGGTGGAAAAATAAGAAGCATAACAGATAATAGAGGTAACCCGATCCACAAATTTTTGGATCTATGAATATTCTACAAACATGCAATAATTAGCAATTTTTGAAAATCCATGCCAGAACAGTGTTTGCACTCAGATTATAGAAAAGTAAGATTAACAAGCAAAATTACAAATGAGTCATGCAGAGTTAAAAATTCTAGAATACATATGATGCATGTTTATGTCCGGTATGTTATTACCGTTATATTATAAAACATAAATTGGTTCATACCTTAGTTGGACTTGACGCTTTTCGATATCAGGAATATACGGGCTTTCATTTGCAATGAGTTTCTTTGCTAATTCCTCACACTGATTAAATCGCTCAGACCCAGCTTCAACACTGCGCTTCAGTTCATCAAATTTATTTTGTAAAATCTGAAATGCACACAAACATGTATGTTAGATGAAGTAGTTTATATAAGACTTGTTTGCAGCTGTAAACTCAAACAAAAGTACCTGAAGGTGTTCATAATCCTGCCCATAATCCTCAGAGGCTGCAACTTGACTTTGTTCTCTGATCCACTGTTCAAGTTCGGCACTTTCAAGGAAATACTCATGCCTGTACATTGACTCCATAAGTCGTTGCTGCCGGGCAGTGGCTAACTTTTGTAAGGTCCGCATTTGTTGCGACAGTAATTGTTGTTTACTAGCTATGGCTTTGGCATCAGGGTGTTTTGCATTAACCATTGCATTGGCTGTATGGCCCATTTCACTCACAATCCCACTGTATGAGTCTAGTTCTAGTTCAAGTGTCTATTGAAAATAAAAGAAAGAATGATTATCAATACTGTAAGAAAAGACATAGTAAGGACGAAAAAAGGTGATCTGCTAGACCTTATGCTTAGTCAACAGTTTGGTAGCTGCATCTCTATCTCTTCCATAATCAGTGGAGCTAAGCACGTCATTCCTTTCAGTTAGCCAACTCTCTACTTCCCCAGCCTCAAAGAAGAATTGCTGGGCCTTCAGGGAAAGCTCTAATTTCTTAGCTCTCTCTGCAGCCTTATCATTCAACTCCTTCCAAGAGTCTATCAGTTGCTGACACAAGTTGTCAATCTGCCAGAAAATGGAAAAAACCTATTGTAATGCACATATAGATAATGTATTGATATGGAAAATACAAATCTTGAATTTAAACTTGCCTGTTTAACTTCAGGATGCCCTTCACTGACAAGATTTTGCCCTGAAGCCAAGGTACGGTCTATCATAGGTTGATGACCTGTTATTTCTGATTCCAATTTTTTGTGCTTCTTATACATGGACTGGGCTTGATGAAGATTGCTTCCAAGAGTGTCAGATGCAGCAAGAGGCATGTGTTCACGAATCCAGCCCAACTCCGTAGCAAGCTCAAATCCAAATTTGTGAAAGCGAAGACTTTCATCTAACGCTTCCCGTCGCGCCTGGGCTGGTACTTTTAGAGATGCAAACTTTTGTTGACAATCTTTGCTAGCTTTCAAAATATTCTCAGCATCGAAATGCCCTTCATGGGCCATTTCTTCGCCATTGTTTACCAAGTCATTGACACGTTGGTCCCATTGGTTCATATCACTTTCTAGTCCCTGTAAATGAAAACCAAAACCATACAATAAGCAATGCTAACCAACACATTTTTAGAACAAGATAAATGAGTGGGCACTTTAAAACAGTGAAACCTAGATAGTAAGAATACCTCCTTATAAAATAACTTTTTGGATGACTCAAGACAAATTTTGCACATGGTTTTATATTGATTTAAGAACACCTGGATATAACACACTGAGACCTCAGCCTTGAGTGATTCTTACTATCCAGGTTACACAATATGTAACAATGCTAATACCTGATGTTTCTTAATCAGTTGTTTGCAATTTCGAAGATCTACTCCAAGTTGTTTTGACTGTAAAGCCATTTCCATTTCCTCTAATTTTATTTGTGCGTCTTCCAGCATGCGGTTGTAACTCTTTTGAGCTGCAGCTTGTCTGAGACGAGCTCCCTTGTTTCTTGACACTTGAACTAATTCTTCCCAAGCAGTGTTAAGGTTGTCTAAGATTTTTTGAACTTCTGGACTGCGGTAATTTCCTTCCGAAATGAGAGCTTGTCCCATCTTGTTCACATTACGTAACTGTCCACCATTAGAACGCAATTCTCTCTCAAATGCCTCATGTTTCTGTAGTTTACGTTCAATATTGCTAAGATCTCTGTAACTTTCATCTCCAGCAGTTCGTAATTTATCCCCTAACCATCCTCGTAGGTCATCACTGTTAGCTACGAATTCCTGGAAGTTGTGAGAAGCAAGGAGAGCAGCTCGTCTTATCTTTGCAGATTCCTTAACAGCCTTACGTCTAGCAAGGATTTGCATGCGGCGGTCATCAATCCCTTTACTGTCGTAATGACCAGCAGCAATAAGCTTGTCAGCCATTTCACTAAAAATTTTAGACCTTTCATCTTGGGCATTTAACATGTTTTCAAAATCTTCATGCCTCTTTAAAAGAGCTTCAACGTCATCAAGTGAGCCACCAAGGTCTGTGAATTCAAGGAATGCTTCATGGCTAGATGTGGTGGTGTCAATAGCATCAGCTTCCTTATTGAAGATTTGCAAGTCTCTGCACTGGTCCAGCCAGGATCCTTTTTCTTGCCAACCTCGGGCAACAGCCTCTTGTTCTTCAGCTAATTTAACAATGCGAGTTTGAACTTCAGTCAAATTTGGGTTCCGTTGGAGAAGTTGTTTTCCGAGATCAGACACTTCATGAAACTCATCCTCGTGAGTACGAATGTCATCCCCAAGCTCACTATGCTTCTTCAAGAGGCTTTCTGCAGTGGCAAGATCCCTAGCGGTCTCATCAGCATTCAATGCATCTTTCACAGAATGTACCCAGCTCAGCAAATTCTTCGAGCTGTTCATGAAGATTTGTTGTCCAACAGCATCTTCTAATCTAGACCTGCGTTCAATTGCTTTGGTCTTAACCTTCTCCCACAACTCCTGTACTTCTTTCTGCCGAGCATTCACATTTCCTTTCTCATTTGGATATGATGACTTCACAGAATTGGCTAACAGGTTTACTCTGTTTACTTTCTCCTGGACAGGAGCAAGTTCTCTTTCCAGATGTAAATGCCTTCTTTGCAAGGCCTGAACAGTTTTCAAGTCTGGCCCCAGCTCAGCTGTGTCTAATTGAGTCATCTTTTCTTGCATCCAATCTCGAGCTTCATCACATGTTCGATGGAACAGTTCAACACTGAAATAGAATATAAAAAAGATACATCAAATAGATGGATAAATTACATTTAAGGCAAAATAGATATGTGCCTCACTAAAATAGACAATACCTTGAAGCACCCTCTAGACTACGTTCTTTTTGACCCTTCAACCAATTCAGATGATCCCATAACTGATGAATTTGATTTTGCCGTGCTTTGACTTTGTCAAGCTGACTATGACCCTGACGAACGAATTCCTCCACAGCAGCATCAATAGCTTCCACTCGTTTCCCAGAGGCTGACAGATCAGTGAGAAATTTCTAGAAAATAAAAATGAGAAAAGAGCCATTTAAAACAAATTTTGGGTGTCAGAAGTACCCGCACAAAAATACCCAGCACAGTTGGAAACAGATAAACTTCACATCAAAATGAAAAAATTTCACTGTCATTTCACTTTAAAAAAAAAAGACAAAGGTATGACAAACAACAATAAGTCATTTAAGCAGATAATACTAATAACACAAGCAAGCACTGTAAGAGAAAATTCACAAATCACAAGATCCATTTAAACATTGCAATAAAACAATGTCCACCACAAAGCTGACCCCTAGACGACATCACAAACAAGTAGTACCATTTTGTAAAGTTATGTAAGTCTTACAAGATTTGAAACTAAGCTGATTTTTGCAGAATTTGAATCAATGCTTTGTCGTCCTTTCTTTGACTCTTTCTCTTTAGGAGATTTCTAACAGATCAGAGGAGATTATAGTTAAGGAGAAAGATTCTAGATACAGTATAAATAAGTATAGATAGATAATAATTTGGAACTTAAATAAGTGCCATTGTCATTACCTCATACTTCCTCTTGGCAGTTTCAACAGTATCTGTACTATCATCAGCTCTTAGCATCTTTTCTTTGTCTTTGATCCACTTTTCAAAATCATCACATTCTCTATAAAACCCAAAAAGATGAATTGAATCTTCTAAAAGAGCGTGTCTTCGAACTGCCATGTCTTGAAGTTGCTTGTAAGTGTGATTTATTTTCTGCTGACGCTTTTCTACATTTTGATTCTCATCATCAGTTGATTTCCTTCTTGATGTTCTTCCTAGAAATACGAGAGAAAATTGTGAGAAAGGTAATTGAACAATGTTGATGAAGTTGTACTTTTAAGAGATATGGTTTGCAAATTTACCTGGAGGTTTAGGTGCTTTCTGTTTTCTTACAGGAATGACCTGTTTTACCATCTTAGTTTTCCTGATTCTTTTCACTTCTTTTATTTTTTCTGGTCGTCTGACTTGAACTTGAACTGTTTTAGGCTCAATTTCACGAACGTAATTAGCAGGTACAAATCCATCTTGACCATTTGTCTTGCGAACGTTCCACCAATCATCGTTTGTTTTATTCAGAAGGTACATTACCTATAAGCACAGAAAAAGAAAAAGTTTCAAATATTAATAAAACTCTCTATTGCAAATAATTTTTTTTTTTTTTTTAAAGCTGTTGAAATAATACCTCTCCTTTTTCCATTACCATACCCTGACCATTGAAAGGGTACTGACTCTTAACTTGAGGCACTAGCCTTTCTTCTGTAACAGTACGGTACTCAGTTCTTTCAACTGGTTCTTCCTCCCAAACTTCTTGGGGCACCAAACGCATCTCATTCACCCACTCCTCCTCATCGCCCCCATCCGCCTCAGAGAGGGGTTCAGGCTCTGCCGACAGCTGTAAGATTGATTGTTCTTTAAAAATCTCCCTTCCTTTTTAAGAACCAAATTTGACATGAAAATATAACATACTTCTAAAGTAGAGATGCCTGCTTTGACTAGCTTCTCAGCCTGACTGTTAAGACTTTGAATGTCACCACTATATGCATTGAGTTCACCCTGGAGATCTCGGTGGCGTTGAAGCAATGCTTGAGCAGAGGGTTCATCCTCGCCATAGTCTGTTGAAGCCACTATCGCCATTTTTTCATTCAACCATGATTCTGCTTCATTGGCATCCGTATAAAACTGAAAAACATTGGAAAATAAAGTAATGTACATAAACAATGTTTATACATCTGAGTAATGACATGTATTTACCTGATAAGCTTCAGCAGCATCTTCAAGTTGTTTCCGGCGTAGGGCAACTAATTCATTTAAAGTGCTCCACTGTTCTTGGAGGCCACTGATACGAGTATTAATTTCATGAGATTTGGGATGTTTATCAGTTATAAGAGCCCGGCCTGCCTCACAAACCTGTTCTGACTTTGGACGTCGCATACTCATTTCATCCTGTAACACTTTGTGTTTCTGCTGAAGGCTCAGAACAGCACGAAGATCTTTGGCCGATATTCCTGTCTTGCAAATTCTCTGTTTGTCAACTATCCAACCCTCCTCATCCTCATGATCTTGAATAAACTGAAAGAAGTTGCGAGCTTCTTCCAGACGGGCACGTCGCTGTTTGCTGCACTCAAGGAGGTTGTCATATGCTTCATTCAGACCATCAAGTCGCTGCTGAAGAGTCGCTGCTTCGCGGTGACCGCTACTCATATACTGGTGTCCCTGCCGCCCAAGACGTCTCTGTGTCTCTCCTATTGCTGTGACTTGCAGCTCCATTAAGCTATGTTTCTGAAGTAAATCTTCAACAGCAAGCAAATGAGGGCCAACATCTTGTGATTGAAAGTTATCCTACAAAAAAAAAAAAAAAAGGAGAAATTGTTAGTTAATTTTGAAGACACAAAGGCAGACATCAATTCTCATGACTGAAATGAGTTGCAAGTTATTACCTGTAAATCTTTAATAGCTGTCATCACAGTGTCCATTTCTCGCAGGATAGCCATCAGGCCACAAAGAAGACTGAGATTTTCTTTGTGCTTTTCAAGAAGGGCAAGAAGTTCACGCCACCTTTCCAACACCTCTGTTTCTCTTTGTTGGACCCTTTCGGAACCATGGTATTTTTCACGCACAAGTTCCGCTGACATATTGCTTAGGTCATGAAACCTCTCCTCACGTGCCATGATGTCGGCACTTATTGCTTCATGTTTTTTGACAGTGGCATCAACTTGGGTTAAATTACTGCCATATCGAGGATCCGATAACACTTGAATCATTTCTTTCAGGTATCCCTCTCGGAGAACACTCTGTGAAAAAAACATTGATTAATACTTGATTTCAGATATAATAAAAGTAGATGTTAAAACAAAGAACTTACTTTTCTCTCAAATTTGTAATTTAATTGTTCAAGTCTCTCTTGTCTTAAAAGTTCTTGCCTTAGTGCAACTTCACGTCTATGCTCAGCTCTTTCTAATTGTTCCCACCCTTTCTCTAAATCATGAATAAGCTGACCTTCTTGAGGAGTAAAGGCTGGTTGATTTAATGACTTCAATTGCGTATTAATGTGGAAGTAGAGAGCTTCAATTTCACTGCGTTCTTTATACTTAGGTGGCTTTTCTACAGTGCGGTACTGTTTGAAACTCAGCAATTCTTTTTGAATTCCTTCGAGGGAGTTGGGAAAGTTTCTGTCTTCTAGTTCACTGATTTTCATACGAATCCACTGAAGGAGGTCTGACGTTAGCCTTTCATAATGGATCTTCATCTTGTCAGCATCCATCATCTGACCAACAATCTAGCAAAAACAAAATTGAAATTTGTTTTAGAATTAAAACAGAAAGAAAATGAAATATGAAATATTTTTGACAGTAGATACAAAATAGTTGGGATGTTATGAAAATCATAAGAAAATTAATAATAAACACTTATAAACATACATTTGCAATTCTTCGACCACTTTTCATTTCATTTTTCAATCTGGCAAAAGTGTGGTAATAAGATGCTACATAAGTGATGATGGACTTTTCATCAGGCCTACTAGTATCAACATCTGCAAACCAAATAATAATCAGATTTTTCTTATTAAATAGATAAATATAAAAATAAAACAGAAAGTGGAGTAAACAATAAATACCCTCTGCATCTAAAAGACTTGGGATTCCTAAATGTGTAGCAGCAGTATCAAAAGCATTATTAAGATTATCAATATGACGGGTTGGTTGCAAAGCTGGGAAATCAATCAGGTCTGGTCGATGGGCATGAATAAGTGCATTGAAACCAAGTCCACTACGCCATGAACCTATAAAAGAAAAAAATGTTCCATCAATTCTGACAGAAATTCACAAGGCCTAGGCCATTATGTTATTAGAGATAAAAATCATTACCAGTGAAATCATGAATTTGAACTCCTGAGTAACCATTAGTTTTTCTTTGGCACCAAAGCAGCAAGGCATCTTTAGCTGATTTCTTTTCACTGCTCTCATTTTCTTCATCCTTTAGAAAAATATAAGAACCTTCAAGATAAGAAGCATATTTTTAAAAGTTTATATCAATTTTCTGCTAATATTTACACTTACCACATCAATCTCGATTTCTTGAATTTGAAAGCGAAGAATTATGGTCCAAATAAGACCCAAGATAAGTCGTGGGTTGCCATCAACTATGTCTTCTGCACCAATACTTTCAAGGCGAACCTACAAAAAAAATAAAAAAATAATTGACTTCAGGTCTAGTAAAATGGATTGGAGAAATCCTATCCCACCAAAGACAAAGGATGCTTCAGCTTCACATTATTTGTGGTAAGAATGTTGTGCAGAGGTGTAACTTATGTCAGATATATGTGCTCACATTTAGCTCATTAACTACTAAGACAAACAAAAGTCAGAAATGGTGAGTTCAACTTTAACTAAAGTATGAGATGCTGTCAAATAAGCTAAGCCAAGCCACGGCGGAATGGACATAACACCAGTGTTTATTGTGTATTTTTTTTTTTTTTTTTTTTTTTTTTAAAGTGAAA